TCCAAGACAGCCCAATAGCCCTCCAAGACGTCCTCCAAGAAGGCCCGAAAGTGTAAAAATGTCCTCCAGGCGGCCAAGATGACCCTCAAGATGCCCACGTGTTCCCCGAAGGCTTTCCACACCGATTCGGGGAACACATGGTCCGATAGCTTGGCAAGTCTGGCCTCAACGTTCGGCCACATAGGCGCTTCCACAAAGGCGGGCGGCGGCGGTGATTCGCCGTAGGCGTCTTCGATCCGCCGCTCCCTGTTGACTTGCCACAGGGGTGCCTGGCGTGCTGAATGATTTCGGTTTTGGTTTCGGTTCTTTGCCCAAATTACTCTTCGTGGGGCTCCAGCGCGTCCAGCCGGGGTCCCGGGAGGGAGCTCCAGGCCCGCAAACGACCTCAGCGTCCGCAAACAATTCTCCAAGACGGCGCAAGATGGCCTCCAAGACGGCCTCCCGGACGGCCCAAGAGGATCCCAGATACGTCCAAGTTCGCCCTAGAAGCCTCCAAGACGGCCCAAGAGGCCCCCGAGAGGGCCTCCAGGAGGGCCCGAAGAGGCCAACATCGTTGATGTTTGTTTCTAACGTTTCGAAGTATATTGGCATTCGCCTCGTCTCGGCATTCCGACGGCTGAAGACAGCCCAAAAGGCCGCCAAGATTGCCCCAAGATCGCCCACGAGGCCTCCAAGAGGGCCCCATGACAACCCAAGAGGCCTCCAAGATGGCCCAAGAGGGCCCCAAGACGGCCCAAAAGACCTCCAAGACGCCCAAGATGGCCTCCAAGACGGCCCTGGAGCACCCCAAAAGTGCCCCAAATCGGCCCAGAGAGGCCCCCAAAACGGCTTCCGACGGCGTCAGACGGGCCAGGGGCCCACCAAAATGGCAGAAGTTGGCCCGAAACTGGCCCAAGATGGCCCAAGATACCTCCAAGAGGGCCTCCACGAAAGCTAGAAAAAAGCCCAAACCATTGATTTCCCATAGGTTTTCTGGACTTTGACATGTGTTTCTTCTCGGCCTTCCGACGGCCCGAGAGGGCCCAAGAGCCCCCAAAGATCGCCCAAAGATCGCCCAAGATGCCTCCAAGAAGGCTCCAGAACGGCCCAAGAGGCCCCCAAGAGGGCCCCAAGAAGCCCCCCAAGACGGCCCAGGAGGCTTTTAAGACGCCCAAGATGGCCTCCAAGACGGCCCGGGAGCATTCCATTAGGGCCACAAGTCGGCCCAGAGAGGGCCCCCGAACGGTTTCCGACGGCGTCGGACGGGCCAGGGGCCCACCAAGACAGCCGACGTGCTTGAAAAGGGTTGGGACGCCCAACAAGCAACTTCCCCTTTAGGCGAAGCCCAGCTCCCGCTCTGTTGTACCGTAGTAGCGATAGTCCCAGTAGTAGGGGGCGAGCCATCTCAAGCAATTTTGGTATCGATGGCAAATGGCACACCTCGCGCTGAGGTGTAGTCTGATCTGGGCGGCCGGCCGCTTTGAGCCAAGCAGCCGCGGACGCGCGCTCGTTCCCACTCACATGCATGCAACACCCAGCTCACTTTAGAGTCGGGGGGGGGAAAAGGAGACGAAGCGTGAACCCGCCGCCTCTATACAGCATGTACAGCAGCGACTATTTCCAAAAGGGCAGCAAAAAGGCGGGACCGCAAGGAAGGTGGACCTGCACGCAAGTTGCCTTGCCTGCACTATACTGTGCATGCGAGTACTCCTCAGGTGGCTACAGAACGGGATGTCTGGCCAGTCCGATAGGGAGCATGGCGCTGTAAGTCATGTTTAAAAGATTGTGTACCTCCATCGATCCATCATCTGTCGTATCCAACTGATGTGTCCTAAAAGGGTACACTCAGCCGGCTTCTTCAAGTCTTTGCTTGACAAGGACTTAAACACAGACTCAGCATCTATGGTTAAAGTGACCTTGATGCTCAGGCCGCCCAACTCAAGTATGTCTTTCAACTGAGTGGGAATTAGCGGCCCTGCGTGGAGCTCGTGCAGAGTCACGATCGTGGGATAACAGTCCTCCAAGTTGCGGGCTGCTACTAGCGCCTCTGCTGAGTAGCTCAAGCGGGCCTGCAAGCGGTGAGACTTGCAGTGCGCATCGATCAAGTGAACGACGCGCTTACCGGATGGCGTGCTTCCACGTCGTAGCAGGTTTGCCCAACGAATGCCATAGCCTTTGACTTCGTCATCGGCATCTCCACTCAGGCGTCGGTAACCGGAGTCGCTGCGCAGGTCAAGCTCGCCCGTGGGGGTCATCGCCTGGTAGTCGATCTGCTTAGGGCAGGCCTGCAATTTCCTAGTAATCGCGTTCAGTCGTCGCACTGGTAAGTTGATCGGTTCTTGGACACGTTGCAGAGAGACAACATGCACCATCAACCACACCTGGGTGATTAATGCATGCGCCAATGCGCCTCTAAGGCTGACGAATATGTCTGCAACCATCTTGGATGCTCGGGCGTCAGCGTCGGCGCCTGTAAGTTCAGGATGGTCTAGGACGGAGCTGTTCATGTATTCGTCTTGGACCAGTGTAACACTGCCGCCCTCATCCTTGGTATATCTCACAGCGCAAGTGGTGCACGTGTGCTTGTTGAATTTACACTTACCAAAGGTGTCTTCTACCCACTTGACGCACTTGTCGACGATGTCCTCTGTGCCGGCCATATTGATGCCATCAACATGTTTGGCCGTGAGCAGGTTGCTGCTCGTCTCGAACTCCTCGTCGTAGGAGGTGGGTATGACACCGAAGCCTCTCGTGGTCCTTCTGACTTTTAGTGGGAAAGCTCGAGGTGCGTCCTTAGTGCCAGTCAGTGCCTGGCTTAGGGCGCTGCAAGCAGTCCTTCGACTCGTCGTAGTCTTCGAATCCTGGGGGAGTTCGAAGCGCCGTAGCCGATCCAGGCGGCAGAGTAAAGCGCACCGCACGTTCCTTATCACCAGTTGCCTCAGCAAGTTCCCGGTAGGTCAACCCTTTCAGGAAGGCCATGCGGATGACGAGGGAAGCAATGATCCATTGCTTCTTGCACGCTGCCGTGCTCGCGAGTAGTCTCTGCTTGACCGCCGTGCTGTCCCCGAAAAGATCTCCACGTCGAAGGCTTCAAGGTCCATGAAGCCTCGAAGCACCAGGCGTGATCTGATGGCACGTTCTATTTCGCCCTTCTCGTTCTTCACAAACTTCCATGCGTGCGCATACCTCGAAGTCATGATTTTTGACGCTTTAGATACATATACATATATATATATATTGCATGTTGAAGCACTTGTTTTGAAACCATGTTTTGAATTCAGTGTATAGGGCCTTCGATGCAGTCTCGGGATTCGCCTGGTTGTCAGCCTTCGCGAGAGGTCATCCTCCTTGGCAACCGCAGCTCGCTTTGCAGCGGCGGCAGCATGCACTCGCATGGTGGCCACGCGGTCGGCATCCAATATCCCGCGCTGTTGTTCGGGCAGGACTACCTTTGACATTGTTGCCGTAAAGCAAAGTTAGACACATGATCAATTTTCGTCTGAGTCCAGCCCGTAACTGCAATCTTCGACCGTGGGGCACAAAGAGACATGTTACGTCTCCTCGATGTCGGAATCGCGTGGGTGCCCCCACTTAGGCAGGCCCCCCCTCTGTTTTTTAGCTACAGTGATCAGCACCCTGCTTTCTGGAACCATCTGTGCGGGTGGTGCGAAAAGATCCTCAAGTGGAGTTAGCTCCATGAGTTCCCTCTCATCTTGTAGTTCTGTATACCACACTTCCATCATATGTGCCTCGAAGTCCGCCTCCGATTCCTCATGTCGCGGGAAGCCGTCTATCCTCCTGTGGTGGTTCGGCTTCTGGGGCCTCTCTTCGGGATCCGTCCGGTGTTTGCGCATCCGCCAATTCCTCAAACTTTGTCATATCCTGGCCAAGGCCCACTTGAGGCTTGGTGGACTTCAGGCACTGGGTGATTCTTGAATGTGCTGGTCCAGCTATATCGTGCATATTAAGAGCGATGCCTTTTGCTTCATATTTGTGAAATCCCGAATTCACCTCGTCGTCATAGTGGACCAATGTGCAACTGTTAGCGTAAGCCACAGGAGGTAGCTCGTGGATTCCCTTGGCTAACCAAACCGAAACTACGTTCTAATTGAGGAAGACATTTCTGATAAAGTATGGTAAAACCAGATGCAGCTTAGGAGACAGTCGGCTTGCACTTGTCATATGAAGCATCCCCTTCTTGGTCGGGACATAGCCACATGTCATGGCAGGTCTCCCCGCAGGTAAACTGGCCACTCACGTCAACACTGTCCGTAGTGCAGTGTTGTCGGAGCCAATCATTCTGGCTATCAAAGCTTCAATGTAAAGTGATTGTCGTGCATCGCCGTACTGTGCCT